ATGCTTTTTAAAGCATGCTTATGATATTTAGTCAGTTTAGTAGATAAATAAAAGTTACACCTTCTAAATCAAATTTGTAATCTAGAGTTAGCATTTTATTAATTTGCATATTTTTATTATCTATTTTTGTTTATTGTCTGAAACTCGGATGTATTATAATTAATTTCTTTCCATGATTCTTTGTAGTTCAGTTTCATATAGCTCACTTGTATGAAACACAGGTAAGTGTTTTAATTTATTTTTCTTAAAATAAGAACAAGAACTTACAACAGAATCATCACCATGCTTTAATTGAAATTATGTAAGATAAATATAGGTTAATTGAGTTCTGGGTATATACTGGTACTTTCATTTAATAGTTTACACTCATTGAATGTTTAAAATTTTGCTTAGTCATATAATTTATAAGAGCAATAAGGGAATTTGGGTTTATATTCAATTAGTATAGTTTTTGTAACTACTTCAATTAACTGATTTAAAATATTTTCCACTCTGCTTGCTGTATAATAGAAAATATCATTTAATATGATTTGCCTCTAATATTCGGTCATCTACATGCTGTTATATCACTCTCCTTAAGTTTTTTGCCCTCCTGATGATTCTGTCTAGTTTTATTTTAAAAAATATTTATGGACGTATGTCCTAAGGCATTGTCTTTGAATAATTTCTTCTGTTTTTCTCTTAACAATGAAATATCTTTAAACCACTTTTTTTTTTTTTATTAACAAACAGTTTTGTCATCCTTTGGTATTATTATTATTTCAAGGTAGATTTTTGAAACTATTTCAGTTTAATTTTAGAATAGTTACTATATGGCAGATTGTGTTTGGTTGTTGAATTGAGTACTATAATGATATACAAATTTAAAGTCCGTGACAGAAAATGAGGAAGTTTGTAGGAGACTGAACACAATTATGTAGAGTTCATCCAGAATGTGTGCAGTTGAATGTTTATTATTATATTTCAATTATAAGATACTACATACATGTAATACAGAGTTTCAGGAGAAAAAACACTGGATAATAAAAATTTGTGAATTTCATCCTTTTGTTTTAATCCAAGTATAAAGTAATGGAGTGGAAAAAAAATATATATATATATATACAAAGTAATGGAATTGGGATACATTTTATGCAAAATTATACTCAAAAGAGGAAAGATCCTTGCATGTTTTATTATTTATATTATTAAGGATATAATAAGATAGTTTGAGGTCATTTAAGTTAGTGGTTGCTAACCTTTTGGACCTCACAGACCACCAGTGATCCGAAGATGACTGGTTGGCGACCGCAGATTTAATTGTCTGGTTGCCAAACCCATTTTATGGAGTAAACATCAGGAGAATTTTAAAAATCTTTGTGTCAAGTTATCGGTATTTCACCTGCCCCCTGCCACCTCTTCCGTCACATAGACACACCCCAAATTCCTATATTTACTGAATCAGAATTGATACACCATCAAGGTAGGAAATTTTGCTAATAGGGGATTATTTCTATTTTAGAAAATGCATGTTGAGAATTTTTAACCTTTTATGATTGTCATAGACAAAAATTCTTATTTTCCAACTGAATAATATATACAGTTTTTCGAATATATTTTAATTTTATTAAATTCACTGACATGATATTGGTTACTAAAATTATATAGGTTTCAAGTGTAAAGTTCTTTTTTTTTAATCTTCACTTAAGCAGTGAAGACATTTTTTCCATTGATTTTTTTTCAGAGAGTGTGGAAGGGGAGGGAAAAGGAGAGAAAAAGAGAAAGATTGACTGATTGCCTTCCACACACTCTTTTCACCGGGAATCGAACCTACAACTCTTCAGTGCACAGGCAACGCTCTAACTGCTAAGCAGTGTTCCAGTATACAATTCTATAATACATCACCTGTATATTGCATTGTGTATCTACCACCCAAAGTTGAATCTCCTTCCTTCATTATTCACTGGACCTCCTTGACCCATCTTCTGTTGCCTGTGCTTATGAGTTTCTATTTGTATGTCTTATTTGTTCATTTGTTCCTTTATATCCCATATATGCAGTGGATCTCAACCTTCTGGCCCTTTAAATAAAGTTCCTCATGCTGTGACCCAATCATAAAATTATTTTCGTTGCTACTTCATAACTGTAATGTTGCTACTGTTATGAATCATAATATCTGATATACGGGATGGTCTTAGGCGATCCCTGTGAAAGGGTCATTCAACCGCCAAAGGGGTTGCGACCCACAGGTTGAGAATCGCTGCATATATGAGTAAAACAACATAGTTTTTGATTTTTTCTGTTCAACTTATTTCACTTAGCATGATATTCTCAAGATCCATCCATGTGGTCCCAGATGGCAATATTTCCATCTTTTCTTATGCCTGAGTAGTACTTCATAGCATATATAAACTACATCTTCATTATCCAATTATTTATAGAAGGGCATTTTAGTTATTTCCATGTCTTGGCTACTGTTCATAATGGTGCAGTAAATATAGGGGTCATATAATTTTGTGAGTAAATGTCAAATTTTTCAGGTAGATAAACTTCCCTTAATAGCTAATGAAGTTGAGCATCCTTTTATACATCTCTTGGCCATTTGTATGTCATATTGGGAAAAGTGTTTGTTCAGACCACTGCCAGCTTTTAAATTGGATTGTTTGTTTGGTGTTGAGTTGTATGCATTTTCTATGTAGTTAGGATATTAACCCCTTATCAGAGCTGTTGTTTGGTTGGTTGCCTTTTTGTTTTGTTTGTGGTTTCTTTTCTTGTACAGAAGCCTTTTAGTTTGATATACTCTTATTCATTTTTGCTTTTAAGACCAAGGTCCTTAAATTTAGTACCAATGTTTTCTTCTGTGTGATTTATTGTTTCAGTTCTTATCCTATCTAATAAAAGACAAAAAGGGTAATTGACCGTACCTTTGCTATGCTTCCCTTTGGCTAATCAGGGCAATATGCAAATTAACTGCCAAGAAAGATGGTGGTTAACCGCCAACAAAGTTGCATACATAGGCGCAATGATGGGAGGCGAAAGGGGAAGGATGGAAGAACAGTGATCAGAAACCCAGGCAGCAGGCAAGAGCTGGGTGGCAGGGCAAAGGCGGCCCTGGAGGCCGCCTTTGACCTGGCCCCCAGCCCTGGATCGGAGAACTGGGGCCGGTGATTGCGACCGGAGGTGCCGCCTTGCCTGTGGCCCTGTGACCTGCCATTGTGATCGCAGAGCCCGGCCGCAGGCAAGGCGGCACCCGGGCACCCCAGCACCTGACATTTAAAGGTCGGGGATGAAATGACTTTTCCCAACCACATCTGCAAATATCCTGGGGAAGGCATCACTGAATAGTTCACAGCAACTCTCTTACTTGGCAAGGAAGAAAAAAGTTGGCAACAGAAACAATCCCTTACATCAAAATTAAGGTCCCTCTGAGTAAAAAAGAATATTTCCAA